ATGCCGAGTACGCTGCTCTCCTCCAATCAGGAGCAGGATCAGCTCCTGGAGGTCATCACTCAAGTTGGCAAGAGGCAGCTGTATAGAAGCTGTTTCCTCCTCTCCCAGCGCCATATTGTGGGAGAGCAGATGCATAGAATAAGTTTTAATTCCAGTAACTCAGTCCAGTCCGGGTTGCTCCCCACAATACCTAAGGCGAAGCCATCCACATTGGCAAACTCGCTGGACCATTTTCACTAAATACGTTAAATAGTTGCAGATTATCCATCAGCTTTAAAGATCAACTTGTTTGGTGCATATGCCAAGGAATCACAGTGAGCAATATTCTTGAAATGTGTCTGTGGTCTGCTGCAAGGGTCAGTGACCTGGTAGTGATGTTATTTCACCCTCCTCAGCCTCACACAGCACAGGTAAACAGTGTGCAACTGAGCAGTGAGAGGGAGTAAGTTTAACGCAAGGCCAGACACCAAAGACAGGAAGGCTGCATGTGAACATCCCTGTGTGTACTCCCTCTTTAAAAAATATTAACAGAGAAAGAATTCATGTACCATACAGTTCAGTCCTTCATGGGCACCAGTTAGTGGTGTTAGCATATTCACAAGGTTATACAAAGCATCACCATGTTGAATCCCAGAATGCTTTCATAAGCCCCCTAAAGATGCCCCCCACACAGTAGGGCGGTGTCGCACCAGCCTCTGAGACTCCGTGGTTCTCCATTCCTTTCCTCTCTGTCCCTGCAGCCACCGCCTCTCCGTTGCCCTGTGGTGAAGCTCACCACCTTGTCTGCCTCTTCAAATGTGCTGCCCAGCCCCACAGTGGAACTTCCCCTTCATGTTCACACTTCTCAACTGACAGATTTCTAGTATACGCCTTTAAAAAATCTGTGTTATTTATGTGGTCCTTAGTCTGGCATCGTTATCATGCATTCCTCTTGCTGTCTGTAAACTTTTTGAGAATAATTGGCTTAAACTTGTTGCTAGTGCGAATGCAGGCTCCCTCTGGAACACATTATACTGACTCTTTTTCCCTTGTATGTGGACCTCACTTATTTCTTTGTATGTCTCATATTTTTAACCGATAATTTTAAATAACACTAGAAATCTAGATACCAGATTCTCTCCCTTGCCAGGATTTACTAATGTCACTTTGTGCTGTTGCTTGGTTAGTAGCTTTTCTGAACTACTTCTGTAAAGTCTGTATTCCTTGTTGTGTGTAATAACTGAATTCCCTGTTTGCTGGGTTGAGTGTTTAGTTAGTGACTATGCAGAGAATTCCTTAAACTCCTATAACTTAGGTGCATCTTAGTTTCATGCATTAGACTGTTTAAAAAAAGATTATTTATTTGAGAAGCAGAGTTACAGAGAGAGGGAGTGAAACAGAGAGAGAAAGAATTATCCCATCCATGGTTCACTCCCCAGGTAACAGCAAATGCCGGGACTGGGCCATGCTTATGCAGGAGCCTGGAGCTCCATCCTGCTATGTGAGTGGCAGGGGACATCTGCTGCCTTCCCAGTCCATCAGCCTGGAGCTGGATAGGAAGCGGAGCACACAGGACATGAACCAACGCCCATGTGGGATGCCAGTATTGCAGGCAGCAGCCTCCACTCCACCACAACGCTGGCCCCCACAGCCCTTCTTTTTGAGCTTCTTGGCTAGCATGCTGGTTGCTTCAACCATTGTCAGTGATGTCAGGCTCCCCTGAAGTCAAACAACTGCCTCTTGTTGTTTCTGACCAGCACCCCAAGGAAAAGGCTGCATGTAATGGTCAGTTCTGAGTGAAGTCCAACAGAGACTGCCTTGAGAATGGGGTCCTGCAAGGAACCACCAGACAGGCCACACAGAGACCACTCTGCACAGCCTGGGGTTAGAAATCACTGCAGGCTGGCTCTACCCCCACCAACGGTGCCCAGGATGCAGGCTGGGCTCTTGGTTTTCAAGGCAGAGAAGATGAGGGGCAAGGCCAGTCCAAGTGCCTCAAATCGTTCTATGTTTACTGAGGTTTAAGAAACCATTTCTGGCCAGCGCCGCAGCTCAATAGGCTAATCCTCCACCTGCGCCGGCACCCCAGGTTCTAGTCCCAGTTGGGGCACCGGATTCTGTTCTGGTTGCCCCTCTTCCAGGCCAGCTCTCTGCTGTGGCCAGGGAGTGCAGTGGAGGATGGCCCAAGTGCTTCGGCCCTGCACCCGCATGGGAGACCAGGAGAAGCACCTGGCTCCTGCCTTTGGATCAGCGCGGTGTGCCAGCCACGGTGGCCATTGGGGGGTGAACCAACGGCAAAGGAAAACCTTTCTCTCTGTCTCTCTCTCTCTAGCTCTGCCTGTCAAAAAAGAAAGAAGAGAAGAGAAGAGAAGAGAAGAGAAGAGAAGAGAAGAGAAGAGAAAGAGAAAGAGAAAGAGAAAGAGAAAGAGAAAGAGAAAGAGAAAGAGAAAGAGAAAGAGAAAGAGAAAGAGAAAGAGAAAGAGAAAGAGAAAGAGAAAGAGAAAGAGAAAGAGAAAGAAAAAGAAAAAGAAAAAGAAAAAGAAAAAGAAACCATTTCCTCGGCATGCCACAAGGCTCGGTCCATTTCCAGAGCTCCAAGGGGTTCATTCTGGCCGTTTTTCCTGGTGTTCACATCACTTTTATGCAGGAAGGAATTTTGAGAAGTCATTGACTGAGCATTTTCCTTGGTGGTCTGTGCCTGATGCTCAGTGGTCCAGGCCCTGTCTCTGACTCATCAGTTCAGCGACAATTACAAAAGATGCTTCCCTACAGTCACACAGTCATACTTAGCAGCTCTCAGGGTGTTCTGCTGTGTTCTCTGCCTGAGTCTCAACTTCCAAGTTTCTCTGTATTTCTTCCTTCCAAAGGCAATGGTCTGGTTCAGGTGAGAAACACAGAAAAGAGTCGTAATGGGGCCAGCACTGTGGTGCAGTGGGTAAAGCCACGGCCTGCAGCACTGGCATCCCATATGGGCATCGGTTCTAGTCCCAGCTGCCCCACTTCCCATCCAGCTCTCTAATTATGGTCTGGGAAAGCAGTGGAAGATGGCTCAAGTCCTTGGGCTCCTGCACCTGTGTGGGAGACCTGGAGGAAGCTCCTGGCTCCTGGATTCGGATCAGTGCAGCTCTGACCACTGAGGCCATTTGGAGAGTGAACCAGTGGATGGAAGACTTCTCTCTCTCTGCCTCTGCCTCTCTGTAACTCTGCCTTTCAAATAAATCTTAAAAAAAAAAAAAAAGAATCCTTGCCACAGAGAAATGTCATTTGTTGAACATAGATTTTATCATCAGATGAGGCAAGAGGGAAAGAAGCCCAAAGCTGTATTTTGAATATGAAAAACAACTTTTCAAAAAGAAAAATAACACAAAAATCTGAGAAAAAATTATACTCCCAAATCTGGCTGCTATCACTTGGCAAATACAGGGTGTCATGCACCACATCCTGGGAAATACTAAGACATGGACTTGGTGAAGTCCCATGTGTTTGTGGCCATGCACACAGCTGTTTTCTTAACACGCACACCTGAAGAATCACTGTGTCAGGGCTCGCATTGTGGTGTCCTGGGTAAAGCCACCAACTGGGACACTGGCACCCAGTATTGGAACACCCAGGTTTCAGACCTCCTCTGCTTCCGATGCAGATTCCTGATAATGTACCTGGGAAGCAGCAGAGGAAGGTTCACAGTTTTGTTTTTTTTTTTTTTCCTGCCCCTCATGTGGGGACCTGGATGGAGTTCTTGGCTTTTTGCTTCAGTCTGGCCCAGTCCCAGCTCTTGCAGGAATTTTGGAAGTAAACGAGCAACTGGAGATCTCCATTTCCCTCCAGTTTTTCTTCTCTCTCTCGACCCTGCCTTCCTAATAAACAAATAATCATATATAAATATATATGTGTGTGTGTGTGTGTGTGTGTGTGTGTTTCTATAGCTATATAAACAAGTATGAATTGATGTCAATCGAAGGGACTGTTCTGAACCCAGGTCTAACTCCAGGATCCTCACAGAGCTTTCACACACACTCGAGCTGGGGGAGTGGAGATTCAAAGGAGGGTGAAGAAACAGAACAGCAGAGACCGCACTGGAACTCAGTGGGCACCATAGCAGTATTTCCTTCTCCAGGACAATTAGGAAAACACTCTAAAGAAGTTTAAGCAAGACAGCAGCATAATCAGACATTCATTGTTAAAACATGATTTCTAATTGAAATTTTCTGTAGTATTTTAGCAGTTTTTGAGGGTCTGTAATCATTTCATTGCCACTGTCTTAAAGAAACAGAATCTGTTCACTGAAATCATGAAAAATGCATTGAAGGGGATGAGGAAGAATCAAGGGATGGGGCCAGAGGCTCTGGCACAGGCCAAGGCCAGGAGTAATGGTGGCCCGGCTGAAGGTCTTGGACAAAGGGGGGCTCTGGCACAGGCCAAGGCCAGGAGTAATGGTGGCCTGGCTGAAGGTCTTGGACAAAGGGGGGCTCTGGCACAGGCCAAGGCCAGGAGTAATGGTGGCCCGGCTGAAGGTCTTGGACAAAGGGGGGCTCTGGCACGGGCCAAGGCCAGGAGTAATGGTGGCCCTGCTGAAGGTCTTGGACAAAGGGGTAGAAAGAAGGATGAGGGGGATGTTTGAGAAACATCCTGGACACAGAACCTGTGTGAGGAGGAAGAGGGAGGAATGGCTACCAAAAGGGACCAGCATTCTCTGCAAATGATCTTTGAATGGGACCATCACCCGAGATGGAGGAAGTCAGAAGAGAAAGACTGACTGTAGGGCAAGAAGTGTGGGGAGCAACTGGGACTAGACTAAGTTACTGGAATTAAGACTTATTCTATGCATCTGCTCTCCCACAATATGGCGCTGGGAGAGGAGGAAACAACTTTTACACAGCTGCCTCCAGTTCGACCAGTAACCTGCAGGAGCTGATCCTGCTCCTGATTGGAGGAGAGCAGCATACTCGGCGTGTGGGTAGCAGAGTTGGGATTGGTGGAAGAGGACTATAAAGGAGGAGAGAGACAACATGCACCAGGAACACCTGAGGAACATCTGAGCAGCCCCCGAGAGAGCCGGCTGGCGGTGTGCCGCTCCCCCGCGGAAGTGGGGAAAGTGGCAGGGGGAACCGCCCTTCCACGGAGGTGGAGGGGTCGGCAGCCAACCCGGGAAGAACCAGCAGCAAACCCGGGGAGGGCCGAGCAGACAAAAGAACAGCGCAGGGTCCTGTGTCGTTCCTCCGCGAAGAGGGGGAGCGACAAAGAAGGGCCTTGGGTTTGGAATTGTGAGGTTTGGCATTCCTACAAAACACCCAAATGCTGATGTCATGCAGGCATTCAGATGTATGACTACCAACACCAAGTTCAGAAGATGCAACGTTGCAAGTCTTTAAAGTGGAGGTAGGATTAAATCCGGAAGGGTCTGTGAGCTCACCACGGATAAAAACGTTGACTGGGAAGGAAGCACAAAGCCAGGTTCTAAGGAACAACAGCGTTTAAAGATGACAGAAGTCAGGAAGGGCCATCAAAGGAAGCTGTAGACTACAGCCAGGGGACAGTTTCTGTTCTAGGACAAAATACCCAGGACCAAGCCCAGCTAGTTCTTGGATGTGTTCCTGAGACTTCCTATGAACTGAAACATTTGAAATGGCTGCCAAGTTCACGCCTCCAAATGGTGTTCAATATCCATAAGGAAGAGCATTCACCGTGGGCAAAGAGGAGATGTCAACCATCAGCTTCTTGCTTTGGCGAGGGTCCTTCAGAAGTTGCCAAATTCTGAATGCCAGCATTGCTTCTGTGGCCAGAAGTCTGTCTGCTGGAACAGGACCAGAGATGGAGATGGTGATGTACTGCTTCCTGGGGCATCTGTGGATAGCCGAGACTGTTAGAAAACTCTCCCTCATCTACAAGTGCAATCTGTCATCCTTCAGCTTCCAAATCATCCTAGCTTTACCCTTGCGACCACACAAAAGGGGCTTCCCTGTATAATTTGACACTGCTTCAAGAGTCTGTAAAGACTACTGTATCCCTTAAGACTTATTTTCTCCAGGAAAAATGCCACTGATAACATCCACCGTTTCTCACAGGACAGTTACAAATTAAGTCAAGAATACTGTGGTCCAATTGATAAAACAAATATCTGCAATGAGAGAAATCTAGCCTCATTAATGGGCTGAGTCACAGCAATTCAAACTATTTATGTTACAAAGTAGGTTTATCTATTAGCTTGGCCAAAATCAGGTAATAATGACTTTTTACACAATGGAATTCCACTCAGCTTAAAATATAAAATTAGCTTGATATTCTAATATTAGGCGATGGTAGGGACACAAATAGAAAAACATGAAGTATTCACTTAAGTGTTTCATCTTTAGAACACATACTTATTAAAGGAAATATAAGAATATGTGTGTAACTCTCCTCAAATACTCTACTGATTTTGTTGGGTACACTATCTTTTGATTCCTTTTAGTGATGCTAGCCTCAGGTTTCATAATGTATACTCCAGAGTTAGCAAAGATGGAATATCATTACATTCTTAGAATTATATCTATGAACTATATTGGATCTGAACTCGCTCTTCCACAAACATGGAGGTATCATTGTCCCCACTTTATAGATGATGGGGCTGGGTTATGTGGATGCAATTTTTAAAATTAAATCATCCTTAGTAATGCAGAAGTTGCTTTACTCAGTTCTATAAATAAACATTTTAGGGTATCTTGCTGTACAGTGATTATAAGCAATAGTTTAGAAATCTAAGTGTTCTGTTTTTGAATTAAAATGATCACTTAAAAGTTGTGCAATCTTTTTCAAGTCACTTAATCTCCTGTGCCATGTTTTTTTCACATGATAAATAAGAACAAGAATGTCTTCATTTACTCTAATGATTGAATGAAATGGACATAATGTACATACTTTGCATGGTAAGTACACAATTAATGGTAGTTAAAAAGAATTAAAATTAAGTTTCCTCCTATCAATTGAAGAGTAAGTCATAGATAAATATATAGGAAAATAACTTATTTCCATTTCTATCTCAGAAGCAATTATCTGGAACAAAACCGTATTTAATTCTCAAATGCTCCATGTGTTGATGCTTTTTAGCTAAAAATATTTATAAGTTCCATAAAATTCACCTGAACTGTTCATCTTTCCTCCAAATGTTATATAACCCAGTGAACATGACATATGATGAGGCACAATACACGTACGTTGTGTGGAAGTCATCTTCAGTTCCCTCCCTTATCCTTGCTGTGAAAGACTGAGATTTCCCAATGGAAAGTGAAAAAAAGCCATTTCATAGTCTATCAAGCTCCCTGCTTTAACCCATTCAACTGGCCCGACCCGTGGTTTCTTCCAAAGTAAATGAGAGGGTGAAAACATTTCAACTGAGAACATGTAGTCTTTCAAACTAACCAAACTGGACTCGTCAATCTTCAACTCACGTCTTGCACTTTATTTAAATACAGTCTGAATAGATCTGTAGAGCTGCCATCCTGAAATGCAATGGGATATTCTCAGCCAGTATAGCTAGAGACTGCTACTGCAACCATGCCAACCACCACCCTTCATACTCCTCAGGAAATTTTTATAACTATTCATATCCTTAGGAGGTGTCTGTTTGAAACAAGGGAAACAGAGGGAACTTTCACTGGCTTATGACCAGAAGGAGAAAGTCAATCAGTGGGTCACCACTATCTCAGCACCTTGGAGAGCGGCTACCAGCCCCAGCAGTTTCTCATCAAATGGTTGATGAGAAGACCCTCAGACTATTCAGTCACAGAGATGGGGGACAAGGGGACAGAGGAGTTAGTGCAGCTCATAAGAAGGGATTCCAGGCTCTATAGGCAGAGATATATTTTTTTCACTATGAAAATGCTTTAATGCTGTGGTTTTCGAACAGGAAGGGGAGCAGGTACACAAGCAGACTGGGGTACCAGAGAACAGGTACTAAGCCAGTGAAGACTTCACACCACGTCTGCACTTTACCCCTGACAGACAGCTCTAGGCCACCTCCTCCTCGGCCTGCTCCTCAAACTCACCCTCCTCTTCAGCCATGGCATCCCAGTACTGCTGGTACTCAGACACCAGGCCATTCATGTTGCCCTTAGCCTCAGCCCACTCCATCTCATCCATGCCCTTGCTCAAGTACCTGTGCAGGAAGGCCTTGTGCCAGAATATGGCCATGAACTACTCCGAGGTACACCTGAACAGCTCCTGGATTGCCACGATGTTGCCAAGGAAAGTGGACAACGTCTTCAGCCCTAGGGGCTGTCTTCACATAGAAAATGAATGACATGACTGGTAAAGAGGCTGAATCCTCACCTGCTTAAAAAATCCAGGATTCCTCTGACATCTATGGATCTGGGGATGTGGTGACTGCATGGAGACAGCACCCTTAGCAGAAGTGGTAGAATCTGCATGGTGGCCAGTGGTAGTGCTGGTGTCTTTCTGAGAGACTTGGAAATAGGGACTGTGGGGTGGAGCACAAATAAAAATGCAAAGAGAATGGTGTTTGGACATGCACATACATCTTTAAGGTCATCACCCTCAAAATTAGAAGATACTCTAGAGAGTCACTGTAGCAGTCAAGCATTATGTAGACAGAGGGAGTGAAAGCTCACACCATTAACACTGAAACGTGAGAAAAATAATGACCAAGTGTGCTTCACAGGTATCAGATTCTAGGATTCAGAGGTCTTGAGATGCTTGCTTTTATGATTCAATGATCTGAAAAAGCACATTTTTGGCTTGTTTTCTATAACAACTTCAAAGTTTTAGTGTTATTGATACTGTTATATGAACTGCTAGATTTGTGTCAATTTAGTGCATTATTCATGTCATATTTCTATAACTCAAAGAATAATGCTACAAAAACAATAACTTTTACTCAATGTCAAGTACTTTAAAAACTTGGTTAAAAGTGTGAAACCATCTGTTAACTTTCAACTATAACGGAGCTAATTCAAGAAACATAATGCAATAAATGTTTTCTTTTTGTAGAAAACTTTTAATGACTCCAATAGGAAATATTGCTGTGTTTTCTTAGTGGTAGAGATATTGGAAGTGATAACTGATACATATTAGGTAGGTAATGAGAGAGACATTTGCTATTAGCAGTTTCTGTCTGTGGACCAGGGACATTTGCTTCTCCATGCAAAGCTGTGGTGTACTGCAAATGGCCACAGACTTTGTGCAAGTTCTCCACCAAGAGGCAGCTCTAATTTCTCCATCATATGTCATGTGAATTCTTTGAGAAACCTCTATATAGTCTATATACTTCAGTGCCTTTGTGTGAGCTCTGAGCCAAGCCTCAAAAGGCTTAAACACCCTGTTTTTTTTTTTTTTTTTTACCCTTTGAGAACAAGTCTCCTTGATGAAATTAGACACAGCTGGCACAGATGAAGCCCAGGCTGTGTGAATGTGCACATCTTCAGCCTCCCATTCCCAGACAAGATAACACAAACGAGAGCTGTGCAGGTAACCCAGAGAATTATGAAAAACAGTGAATGCAGGTTTAAGCCACCAGATCTTCGGTGGATTTGTTTTAGAGCAAAAGCTCTGAGCAAAAGTATAAAGAAAGCATGGAAAGTCCTTAGGTATATAAAGTTGGAACTCTAAATTTAGAGGATGATCTCTCACACCCTCCCCTGTTCTGTTCCCATTTCACCTGATAGCGTGAGATTTCTTTGTAAAAATAAAGGGAAAAGGATGGAGGAGGAGGAAGAGAAGAGAGGTGAGGAGAGGGAGAGGGATGGGTAGAAGGAAGGAAGAAAAGACGGGAAGGAGGGAGAGAGTGAGGGGAAGGGGAAGAGAAGGAAAAAGGAAAGAAGGAAAACAGAGAGAAAAAAGAGAAAAGAGGTAAACAAGTTAGATGAGTGGACTTCCCCATTCCGAGTATCCACCTGATCCTTCATTCCTGGCAAGTGATCCAAGACCATATTAAGACGCTCCGTGTCCCCACCCCACCCAACAGATCACTTCAGGAAGCACCTGGACCTCAGCCCTAACTTCCAATTTCATTTCTCATTGTCTGTCTAATTACAGATTATTACAGCTTCTCTCCATCTGTCTTTCTGTCTCCATCTGCTTCTCTCTCTCTCTATATATATATATATGTGTGTGTGTGTGTGTGTGTGTATGTATATATGTGTATATATATATACATTCTATAAATATTTCTGCATTTCAACTAAAAAATAAAAAAATGATTAAAAAGCAGTGGAAAATACTCTGAACAGATATTTCTG